TGTAGATCACGGCCGTTAGCCAATCAAAATCGAGAATCATCCGTGACAAAATTGGTGCGGCAGCTATGTCCAATGTTCCAGGGGTAAAGGGAGGTAATACCATGTATCAACGCCCATGATCTTCATAGTATTGTTTATAGTATTTATTTAAAGCCACCTATACAACCCTTATTCTAAACAAAAATCGTGGTGCAGTAAAATCGTATATTAAACATATAAATATTTATGGCTTGTCTCTTGAAATAATAAGCATATATAAATCTAATTTTTATTTCAAAATTTTCAAATCTACTTATTCTACATTAATCAAGCAAAAAATTTTGTTTCTAAGCACTATCGAAGCAATAGGGCCTCTGACTATATGTACTACATATGTTTTAGAAATCATATAATGCAGGGATTCGCATTAAATGGCCTAGAATCCGCGTACTCTCTCCCTTGAAAGCATGTCATATATTTCATTTATTTTTTTTTGTATATTTTTTTTTTTTGAGGGCGTGATCGTCTGTTATCATTGTCTATGTAGTAAGGAGAGGAAGACCCGATGAGCTTTCCGCGGCTTAGGCCACTGAGCTACTAGATAAGAAATAGCATTGAATGTATCCACCTCATTCTTTTATTATTATGAAAAAATTTTATTTTCTGGTTATCAGTTGCATTTTTTTATTTTATTTCAGATAAGTATAATTTTGTTCATTGCTTTGGATTTTAAACATCTTTACTAAAGCAGATTTTTCTTCTAGATATTTCTAAAAATGTTCTTTGCCTTTTGCTACGTTTGCTTCTTTTTTGGACTGACTCACGTTTATTTAACTGGCTCTTGGCATTTTTAGGAGAGTATAAACCTTGTTTGTGTTTTGGTTTTGAACGCATCTATTAACATTCTTTTTCATCCTTGTTTAATATTTTTTGATTAGTCAAAATTACTGGGGTTGAACAATTTTTATGGGAACGCTACCTAAAATGCTCCCAGACAATAATATCAATATGAAGTTTCAAAATGATTCAACATATTGTAAAGACATCAAATCGCCCGGAAATTTTCATGAATTGTTTATAAAATCTCAAAGAATAAAATTATGTTTGAAAATTTTCTATCAATATACAATTTTGAGCATTCATCTTACAGAATATTTTGAATTTTATTAATTTAAAAAAGTTATCTTGAAACCATAAATTGAAGCTTAGAGCTTTTGCAATGTTTGTGTGAATCCTTTAAAAAATTTTTAGAAATTTGCAATTTTTTTAATAATTAGACAACATAATCAATTTACTAAAATTTGGCTTATAAAAATTTGATATAAAAATAATGCACGATTTACTACAAGTTCGCTAATAAAAATTTGATATATTCGATTTACTACTTAAATTTTGCTAATAAAAATTTGATGTAAAAATAATGTTCGATTTACTGCTTAAATTTTACTAATAGAAATTTAATGTAAAAATAATGTTCGATTTACTAAAATTTGCTAATAAAAAGTTGTAATAAAAATAATATTCGATTTGCTACTTAAATTTTGCCAATAAAAAGTTGATACTTAAATTTTGTTAATAAAATTTGATCATTGATGTCCCTCCCTAATTACATGTTCATATTAACCATAGTAAAAAAAAATCATGAGCTCAATGTGAGCAAAAATGTTTTGCAATTCATGACATACACCATCCAGAAACAGATTTCATAACTTTACCTCTTTACATTTACTATTTTAAAGTAATCAGGATCTAATTGCAACGTAATTGTAAATTGTGTGCATATACTATTGTCTTTAACATTAATTATAATGATTCCTTCAGAAACATTATCAAGATCTGAAGGCGGTTTATGACCACTTAGAAAGAAATTGACAAGATATACGCCCATTTCGAAATGACTAGCATAAATTTGCACCTGGTCGATTGGTTTTTCAAAATCAGTTGATGATATTTTATTACATTTGAGTGAATAAGCTACCAAATTTTGGTCACCATCAACTATCATCAAATCAAGTTGTGTTCTGCCTTCGCCTTTTATTTCCAGTAAGCACATCATCAGTCTAGGCAATAAGCTATTAAAAGCACAAAAAAGTGATGCTTGTATAACCCTTTCTGATACGCCTACTTTATTTTGAACTCTTTTATCCGTGACTATGGTAGGATCAATCCAGCTTAATCCAAGTGCTAGTAAATTAACGGGTTCATCCAGAACTTCCCTCTTTGGTATAGATTTTGAAAGTGTGGGGAAAAGAGCATCAATACAAACATGCAATGTAATACAACTTGTAAACGCAACTGAATTCGAGTCCACAGGGTAAAGAATTCTGATATCTAGTAATTTTTTGTCAAGGTCATTTAAGTTGTTTAAATCTATTTCCCAACAATCCATCATATATTCCGTAAGATTGCGGATATACTTCTTTTTATCAAAATTCATCTTGTTTATGTTATTTGTAAGCACAATATGAGTTCTATTCATATATCTGGGAAGGTTTTCATGCAATACCTTTTTCCACTGTCCAATGGTTGGCAAATTATCACTAAAAAGCCTTAAAAGGCTCATGAAGAATGCTGGATGTCCACAAGACTCTCTTTCAATTTCGAGTTGTAAATTATATGGTACACCATTTATATTTATATCAATCTTGTATAATTCGAAAAGCCCGTCTATTTCTTTCGTATTAAATAATGGCATTTGTACGAATTTAGCTTTACTGAAAGGTGATATGAGCGTTTGGGAACTTGTCATCAGATTCGTGAGGATAAAAGTACTTACAGCAATATAATATAATTTGGTACTTGCAATTCTTTGAAAGAATTGTTTGGACACATTACAGAGTGTTGATTCTGTGAAGATGTATTGAAATTCATCAATAAGGAGGTATAAAGGGTCCTCCAAATCAAATATACGTTGATAAGTTGCTACTTCATTCAGCTTTTCTCTGAAAAGCATGTAAGACATAAAATAAAAAAATCCTTCTTCTTTCTTTGTTAAAATCAACCCTTTTACGTTTATTATTTCAATATGTATGCAGGCTAATTTCTCGCGTCTAAGGACTTCGAAAGAAATTTCTTTTACGTGCGGGAAGCATTAAGGAACCTTGGAGCGGATGTAATGAACCTTCGGTGATTAAAATATGATTGTCACGTCGTCTTTTACTAGTAGTAACGCACCACTCTATGTTTTCTTTTTCATTTTTAATGTTTTGCTATACCGGTATGCAGAAAAAAAAATATGATATAAGCAAAGATTCTTAACATAAGAAGGTAACTGGTTCCTTCTCTAGAAACAACATTCTTAATCAAAGACCTCATAGTTAAGTTATAACCGATACAGCACACTTTTGATATAACTGAACGCTCCTCCTCAGTAGCCGCGGAATACAGGGCGTATTACACTTAACTATGTCTCATTAATGCTTTAAAACACTAACCTTTAACTTTTTTAATTGGCGTCTTAACGCAGATACTTTTCTTCTCTCTTTTGTTTTTAGGTTAATCTTCTCAACCAGTACTTGCAAATCATTTGCCAGGGCACTACGCGACTTTCTTTCTTTTGTTTCATCAGGATACTTTCTTTTGTAAAACGCATCCCACGAAAAGATTTCTCATTCCTCATGTGTTTGCCTCCAATATTCAGGATGTTGAAGCTTATTTAAAATTTTTTCCAGTGCCATTTTTGTTAAAAGAAAGTTTATAGAATCTTTGAAATACAAAAATAAACACATTCTTATATATTTAGAAAAAAAAAAAAAAAAAAACGCGAACTAAACCAATAGGATATGCAAAAGGTATACAAATCAAAATCTAATAAAAAAAGAATTTTTGTATAACAAAGTTAATTGATATGTTTGAATTGCATCTAAAGTATTTAATTAGATAAGTATACGACCCTTTAAAATTAAGGATAATTTTCAAAGACCAATGTTATTAAGCAAATAACGATAAGTCTTTCTATAATTTTTTGACGTAAAAAAGACTTGGAAAAAAAATGAATTTCCCATAGATAATATAAAAACTGACTTCATAACTTTATAATAACAACAAATTAATAGTAAAAAAGTTTTTACTAAAAAGAAAGATGCGACCTATGCATCATATTAAATGATCACAAAACATTTTTTCATCCTTAATGTTAACATTAAAAAAAAAAAAGGAAAGGAAAAAAAATTGCAGTTTGTCAAGTGTAATTTCTTTTTAAACAGGAACAGTACATTTATATAAATATTAAAATTCCGCAGTGCAAATAAATTTTGTTTTGCACAAAAATACAGAAGTATATAACTATTCAACTTGTATAATCAATTGTGCAATCGTGGAAAAATTTTTTTGTAAATTTTGTGCAAAGAACAATATACTAACGAGTATGTATTGTAAAATTTAAAATTGAAGATACTCCGATAAAGGAATAATTAGTAGAACCAATCAGAGTGATGGTAGATGAATACGTAGAACAATAGAGAATTTAGAATAGAATAGAATAAAAAAATTGACAATGATTATGTGGAAATAGCCAAATTCCAGTGACGTAATCACTTCAACAATTGAATAATACTAAATCATCGCTTATATTGTTAAATAAATATATAGAATTATTTGATTGGTGAAATGATTTACATCACTATTTCGATGTGTAAATCGATTGATTATTATGTGTCATGACATTTTTCATTAACATTAGGGTTAGGGTTACTTTAGGTTGCACGTCTGAAATGTGTGCCAGTTTTGTGGCACAGCAAAAAACCTTTAAAGTTTATTAATAAGGTTAGAGGTTAAGTAATTTTATACGTAGTAAAATCGCTCAAGGAAAACTTTTGTCCGAGCACTAAAGCTGGTTTCTTATGCAGATTTCGATAAAATGAATGTTTGTTTAGAATTTGTCGCAGAAACTCTCTAATTTAGGGGATGGCTAAAGTGCATGCATTTATTTATGCGAGTAATACAAATCTAAAAAGGGAAATTAGCCAATCGGAGAACATAAAAAGTGATTATCTCGGATCAGCCCAACACGTAAGCAAAGCAAAGAAAAACATGAAAAAAATGAAAATGAAATTTTACATATATGAGATAAATGTTTATTTATATAGCATCTAACTTAAGCGTTCTAACCCTAAATTTTTATTTTCACAAACTTTTACGTTGAATTTTTTTTTTTGTGTTTGTATCACTCGCACAAATAAGTAAATCCGGCTAAAGCCAGGTACATCACGATATTACCTGATTTTGGTGTCGTCTAAAGTGGGACAATTTCACATGATCACAGCCAATCAAATTATAGAATTTTGATGATCGTCGGCAAAGCAAAGCAAGAAACAAAAACGAAAAACCCAAAAAATAGAAAAAACGACAGTCTAAATTTACTTCAGATAGGTTAAGTGAAAATGTAGAGAAGGCAATTTTGCTTATATATAACAACCTAAAACCTAACCTAACCTTAATATAAGATGACTCTAACCCTAAAGTTAATTGAAATATAAGGTCATGTAAATTTGCACCTGCTTTAGACATCCTTCTGATTTTTCGATTTTTTAATTAAAATCAATTAATATTAGGGTTGTGATTAAATTAATAGTGTTTATAATATAGTAAAATTGCATTTTCGATACTTTTACTTAGTGAACCAAACTCAGTTTAGATAGTCAATTTTTGTATTTTGCATGTTTTAGTATTTAGCGTCTCGCTTTGTTTTGTTTAGACTGATCTGAGTTATATATCAGATAATCTTGTAATATACCTAGCTTTAGCTAACCCCCAATGAAATTTTAATTCTTTTATATTACAAATTATAAACTTTCTACAATATGTTATTGCAGATTGGAGCAGAGGTTCGATTTTGCTTAATATAAAAGAATTCTATTTTTAGAAGTTGTCTAAAATGAACTCCAAAAACTGGTTTAATTTTGGTAAGGCCACTTCAATTTGATTTTATGTTTAATATAACATTAATAAAATGATTTGCAAGTTTAAACAGAAGGTGAGGTAAAAAAACATGAGATTTTGATTGGTTAAAAAAAGTTTTTTTTGAATAGTTAATATGATTTTTATATTAAATGATGTTAATTACTCTCTATATCTGAGGCTCAAAGAGAGAGGAGGGGTTATATTAAACATAGTTTTAAATTAACATGATCTAATAGACTAGAAAAATCTAAAATTAATATACCAGTTTATATGTGCTTGAAGTTGGCCTCTAAAATTAAATCATCCTGTATGTATTAGCTAGCTGTTTTAGGCAGATGCTATTTCACAAAATTTTTTTTACCTCTTGAGAATTAGGTGTAACATAATAGTCAAAACAAATATGTTTTGTTTTCTAAGTAAAAAGTTATATGCAAAATTAAAATTAAGAAAACCATATTATAGTTAGAGTTAAAACTAAAATAATATGACGTTTAAAAGTAAAATTTTATAAAGAACATTTTTTATTAGACTACAGAAGACAATTTCTAATTAAAATTTAAAGCTATTCTTATTTTTTTACTTCATTTCGATTTTTATATTACTGAAATTTGATTAATCATTATTACAAGAGGTGAAAAAAATTTTGTAAAACTTTCAACTTCAAGCAAATACCAACTTTAAGAATAATATTAATATAAATATTTATGTTATAATTATATAATATTATTTTAGTAATTGATATCTAAAAATAATTATAAATTTAGAAGTAAAGTTTAAATTTTATAAACAAATAATTGCTATTTTTTCAAAATAAAAAACTTCTTTTAAAAGTATAATAAAAGATTACTTTGATTAGTTGTTGATTTTGAAATTTTATTGACTACATATAGCAAATATTTTATATAAAAATATATTTAATTAAATAATAAATTATTAACAAATCTATATTTAATTAAATTTGTCAAAAACAAAAAAATATTAAAAATTTAACTTATAGAGATACAACTCTTTCTAATAATCACTTGTACCAAACTTATAGCTAATAAAACAGAAATTTGCTGGAGAAAAGTAGAAGAAATACCTACAAATAACAGTTTTTATAAAGGTTAAGAGTTTTCATATTTTCTTTAAACTCCTCTGTATATTCAGCATACAAATTAAAAGTGTTTCTATACAAAATAACTAACAAGGTAGTGTTTTAGGACAGAAAATTTTAATAGAAGTACTGCTTTTGCTAATGAAGTTATAGATAGTAATACAAATCAAAATTGAATTAATTGATTAGGTGTAAAGTTAACAACTAATCAATTTAAATTTTATAGACTTAACTTAGTTAATTAGTCAATTAGTCGACTAATTGATTACTTAATTAATCAACTAATCAATTAATCAATTGGTTGATTAAATCAACTGATTATATAAGAATATCACTCAGAATATTGTCAGTTGGAAAGTCCTGAATGCTTATCATAGCCTTAGAACTAATTTATCATCGAAATATTATTATTAAAGCTTTTTATACCTACAATCTAACTA